ATTCACCACACAAGCTAAGTAGCCATGATACACTTTTCTCAACATTCGGTTAGCTTGAAGGGAAGAAATAAAACATATAGAAGACCCTTTCCCATCTCCCTGAAAGAAAAACTCATGTTGCCCTGGCATAGCAAAAACTACCTTTTTTCTAAAACAATCAACAGAGGCATGATGTTTCGTCAACCAATCCATCTCCAAAATCACATCAAAATCCTTCATCTCTAAAGAAATCAAATCCATTAGAAAAATTCTACCATCCATCTCTATCTCACAAGATCTACAAACATCCCCTAACACTAATGTTTCTCCTAATGGAGTAGACATGGTAATACAAACATCAAAAGGCTCACAAGGAATAAACAATCCGTGCAGATATCTAGGTGTCAAATCTTAACCATCAAAATGAAATCAAGAAAAGCTTAACACAAGCTTAAACAAAACTAACTTAACCATACGCTACTAAGGACTCTAAGGACTCGGACCTCATCTAAATGATGAAATGCAAGATATGTAACTCAATAAAAAGCTCTGATACCACAATTGTCACACGTCAAACCAGGTACGACCGGCCGTGGCCCACAGGGCCTTAGCCCAAAGCACATGTAAGCCTAAGCAGTAATCCATAATTACATTGAACAACTATACAAAGTCTAGTAATAAATAACCAAACTCAATCCAGTGACATGCCACAAGTATAAACGGCAAAACCAAACGTAATTAATACTATCCAAACTTATGGGATATAAACAGCTCACATATCAAAATAATCCTAAATGAACCTCAATAAAAATAAAAAGAAATATGCACAAACTTGACATAACAATCTAAAACAAAATAAATGAATGTCTAAGAGGTCCATGCAATTGAGTCCTCGCTACGCCAAAAGTCCACTCTAAGTCCTTTTAACACCTGGAAATGATAAACAACTAAGTCAGCTGATAGCTCAGTGAGTAGCAACATGGATAGTAAATACAATTTTGAAAATAGGGATCAATTTCAAAATAAGACATATATCACATAAACTAGATTGGCATACAGGTTGGTAAAGAGAATTTGTTTCAAAAAGAAGGTTCCACAGTTCAATAGTTAAAATACTCATGTCTCTCAAGAACATGATAAATGACATTTTCCACTTAAAACAGATTACAACATGAACACCAATAATTTTTTGGGTACCAAGAAATAACAAGCAACATGCCACACAGTTTTCAAGGCTATAAGCCCGTTGGATCCAATACCGAACTACGAGTCATCCTCAGGGTGGCAACCTGGGCCTTTTCTCTAAGACGATCCGATTGAAGATCACCTTGCCTAACCTAGGTCTTTTCCTTACAATCGTTGAGCACTAGAGTCATCACAACCCAACTCGGATCTCTTCCCTAGCGGCCAGAGTCACCACACACAGTGGAATAATTTCCCTGGACTAAAATATACATATGGTCCCAATAATCAATACACATCAGTTTCGCAAAACATGGTAGTTCACCATTATAAACATGAGACCAAATGTAATGCCCCGAAAATAATCCATCAAAATGAAATGCAACAACCAACATCCACTAAATAATAATGGCAAATCTCCAACCTTTACATCATTAATCAATAAGGTTTATACAAAAGTTCCACATGCGAATTATACATTCAACGGCATGAAAGCACATGAATCTATAACATGTAGAGCATTACTTCCCAAAAATAAATAAAATGCCCTTAAGGGCTTACATATTCCAAGGCTTGGGCCCGGTTACACAAAATGGTTTCACGAACCCATACATTTAAGCCCTTGGTTAGCAAATAAATTCACAACAAAAATAGAGTTGTCTACTCTTCACAAAATATATCCACGCCCTCAACTCGGCAGGATCACCACATCTTTTCCTGCACCAAATCCCATAGGGTGAGCATAAAACCCAGTAGAGAATCCTTACAAAGTATATACAATTATGAAAAATTTCCAATATTAAATGCAAATGCCATGCAATGCTATTTTAAAGAGAATTTCATTACATGCTCTTCTTAAAAATCTCCATGTTCCAACAACAGTTTGGAATCTCAATAATTCTGAAACTTCTAATTTTAATAAATAATGGCGGTAAATATGACTCAGGTAATCCCTAGGTTGGTGTCTACAAGTAGGTTCAACTAGCACTACCAAAAACCCTACTTTACCGGTTACTAACCGGAAGGGAAGTGGTACCTCCTCTGCGCGTGTTTTCGGTCTTTCACCCCGGACACTCAGGCTAACTTATCAATTTCATCTACACCTCCTATCCGAACTTACCAACGTATTTACCACATAACATTTCGATAGATCTCATTCAAATATTCTTTTCTCAATGTGAACGTTTCCAAACTCAATTCAAGATGCATAATAATAATAATAAATTGAATGAGAATGTAATGCAATAATTAATGCCTCATAACATTTCTCTATTTTTCCCTTCCTGCAATGTTATTTCACAAAATAACCATGTACACAACCAAAGCTATCAACACATAGCAATATTTTCTCCTCATGCACAATTCTTAACAATTTAGTCTCTTCAAGACTATATGTAATGTTTCGAACATCAATTTCCAAGATTTTACAATTCTCATAATCCATGGTACACAACAATTTGTCATCTCACAACTATACATGTTCATGTATTTAACAATAATTTTAAAATAAATTCTCAGTTCTCATATATCAAGAAGATTGCCATTTTGCAAACCATATTATGAAATCTACACTCATTCATTCTTTTAACACACAAAAAAGAATTCCATATACTTTTTCCATATTTTCCAAAACCTCTAATTTCTAGGGTTCTTCATCAAAACAAAAACATCTCCCCATTTCCTTGGTGAAATCCCACCAAAATCATCTTTGTTAAATTAATGAAAGTGAAACCCTCAAGGATTAACAAAAAGGTTGAGATTTAAACCCACTTTTGAAAATGTCTACATTTTGAACCACAAAATCAAAAGCAATGTAATAACTTCAAGAAAACCCTTAAAACACATCATCATTGCAAAACATATATATATAACTCAAAGGGATCCCTACCTCAAGGTTTGATGAAGAAAAGAGATGAAACCCTAGAGCCAAAGATGAGGGATTTTCGATTTCTACCACACAATGTGGAGTTCTAGCTTTGATCTCTAAGATTTGTGAGAGATGATGAATCTAGACCCAATGGATTGTAAGAAATCAAAGATTTTTAGTGTTTGATGAGGGTTTTTAGAGAGAAAGAGGAGCAAAAGTGTTTTTAGAGAGAGAGGGATGTTAAAAAAATGAGATATATTCAGCCCTAAAAGAAAGAAAAAACAGAGTTCTCAGACTGCCCAGAATCCTGCACGTGCGGCGCCCTCTCCCACAGGTGCGGAGCACCTCCCCTGCACGTGCGGTGGTCCCTTCCCGCACTTCACTCCGCACCTGCCTATTAGGAAGTGTGCGTCCAAGGCTCACCCTCCAGATATTAACTAATATATCCTAAGTTTCAAACCCAATTGGTTTTACTTGATTTGTTTATCGAAATAATTATTTACAATTAATTACACCCAAATAGGTTGTTTTCTGCAGCACTTTAAAGAAATTAATGGTTCTCTTAGTATACACGAGCAATAAATGCAAGGCCAAAAATGTAAGAAACTAGACTCACAACTGGTTCTAATGACACTAATTTGATAATTTTCGGATTTATACCCAAAGAGAACGACACTTCCAAAGTTACTGTTTTAAATCAATTTTCTCGACAGATTTGAACGCACTAGTTAATATAGATTTCAACTCCCAAAAATTATGAGAAAATTTAGATATGCAATTCAATATGTAATTAATCTCCTATAAAACTTTCAGTTCAAAATTCATTTGTTTGATACGGTTTCTTGATTTTTAAAGTTTGTGATTCTATACAGAATTTTTGGACTAAGAATTACACCATTCTTTGTACATGAATTTAACTCCTCAGATTTTTTAACAGTATATATATACACAAATTACATACAGCTACAACCTCCCCATCAATGAATTAAATCATAAAATAGAATAAGGATAAAGAACAAATATAAAATAAAGAAGAAAGTTTGAACCCTACCACACACCCAAAAGTTCTTTGATTGCAACTTCTTTTTTTTTTTTCCCTTCTCTCAAACCCTCTCCCGTGGCTGCTTTGTTGTTGCCCTATGTGGTGAACAAATAATAGAGTAGGGTTTGTGTTTATTTTGTTTTATACTAGCGGTGAGCACACATAGGTCAAATAAATAGATAAATATACAAAACATATATATAAGTTATATGCAACTCAAATGGTAAGAGTCTTATATATTAACTTTGTGGTCTAGAGTTCAAGTCACACCCTCATCTCTCTCTCTCTCTATATATATATATATATATATACATATATATATTTTATAATAAATCTTGCCTCTAAATTAAAGACTTTCACCATAAATTTATTTTAGGTTTAAAATTAATTAAAAGATCATTCAATAATAATTAATTTGCACTTTAGGATTCACCATCAAAGTATTTGAGATTGTGAAATTATTATTATTTAATTATTTACTTGATTTGTATATTCGGATTCTCATAGTATCACAGCAGAAATATTATTGTTGGATATTTTAAGAATAGTCAAACTATTGCACTTTCCTCATTTTTGGGATTACTCATCGTAAAAATTGTTATAACACAAATCAATGTAAACCAAGTTTGGGTATATACCAAAATCTTCTGATATATTTCCTCAAAGTTGGTTTCCATAAAGCCTAAGTGTAAATAAGGTAAAACAATTTCTCAAGTTTTTTGGGATGGGACCTGTGAGATTATTATGAAATGCAATCAAATTAACCAACAATCCATTAAAGCATAGGCCTTCTGGGATTGAATTGGTAAAACTGTTATAAAAGTACAAATAGGCTAAGTTGCTCAAGTTTCCTATAGATGCAGGGATTGAACCGGTGAGATTGTTCATTGAGAGTTCGAGATCAAAGAGAGACCTTAGCATCCCAACTTCTTAAACAATTAATCCAGAAAGTTGGTTGTGATGAAGGTACAGAGTGGTTAAGTTGCCTAAGTTCCCTATAAATGCAGGTATTAAACCAGTGAGATTGTTCGTTGAGAGATCGAGTTCAACGAAAGACCTCAACATCCCAACTTCTTGAGGGATTAATCCAGAAAGTTGGTTGTAATAAAGGTACAGAGTGGTTAAGTTGTCCAAGTTTCCAATTGAGGAAGGAATTGAACCTGTGAGATTGTTCCATGAGAGTTCGAGATCAACGAGAGACCTCAGCATCCCAATTTCTTGAGGGATTGATCTGGAAAGTTGGTTTTCATAAAGGTATAGAATGGTTAAGTTGCCTAAGTTCCCTATAGATGTAGGGATTGAACTCGTGAGGTTGTTCTCTGAGAGTTCAAGATCAATGAGAGACCTTAGCATCCCAACTTCTTGAGGGATTGATCTGAAAAGTTGGTTGTCATAAAGCTACAGAGTGGTTACGTTGCCCAAGTTCCCTATAGATGTAGGGATTGAACCTGCGAGGTTGTTCCCTGAGAGTTTGAGATCAATGAAAGACCTCAGCATCCTAACTTCTTGTGGGATTGATCCGGAAATTTGGTTGTCATAAAGGTACAGAGTGGTTAAGTTGCACAAGTTCCCTATAGATAGAGGGATTGAACCCGTGAGGTTGTTCCCTGATTGTTTGAGACCAACGAGAGACCTCAGCATCCTAACTTCTTGAGGGATTGATCTGGAAAGTTGTTTGTCATAAAGGTACAAAGTGGTTAAGTTGCCCAAGTTCCCTATAGATGGAGGGATTGAACCAGTGAGGTTGTTCCCTGAGAGTTCGAGACCAACAAGAGACCTTAGCATCTCAACTTCTTAAGGGATTGATCCGAAAAGTTGGTTGCCATAAAGGTACAGAATGGTTAAGTTGCCCAAGTTCCCTATGGATGTAGGGATTGAACCCGTGAGGTTGTTCCCTGAGAGTTTGAGATCAATGAGAGACCTTAGTATCCCAACTTCTTAAGGGATTAATCCGGAAAGTTGGTTGTCATAAAGGTATAGAGTGGTTAAGTTGCAAAAGTTCCCTATAGATGTAGGGATTGAACCCGTGAGGTTGTTCCCTGAGAGTTCGAGATCAATGAGAGACCTCAGCATCCCAACTTCTTGAGGGATTGATCTGGAAAGTTAGTTGTCATAGAGGTACAGAGTGGTTAAGTTGCCCAAGTTCTCTATAAAAGGAGGGATTGAACCCGTGAGGTTGTTCCCTAAGAGTTCGAGACCAACAAGAGACCTCAGCATCCCAACTTCTTGAGGGATTGATCCGGAAAGTTGGTTGTCATACAAGTACAGAGTGGTTAAGTTGACCAAGTTCCCTGTAGATGGAGGGATTGAACCCGTGAGGTTGTTCCCTAAGAGTTTTAGACCAACGAGAGACCTCAACATCCCAACTTCTTGAGGGATTGATTCAGAAAGTTAGTTGTCATAAAAGTACAGAGTGGTTAAGTTGTCCAAGTTCCCTATAGATGGAGGGATTGAACCCGTGAGGTTGTTCCCTGAGAGTTCGAGATCAACGAGAGACCTCAGCATCCCAGCTTCTTGAGGGATTGATCTGGAAAGTCAGTTATCATAAAGGTACAGAGTGGTCAAGTTGCCCAAGTTTCCTATAGATGTAGGGATTGAACCAGTGAGATTGTTCCTTGAGAGTTCAAGATCAACGAGAGACTTTAGCATCCCAATTTCTTGAGGTATTGATCCAGAAAGTCTATTGTCATAAAGGTAAATAATGGTTAAGTTGTTCAAGTTTCCAATTAAAGAAGGGATTGAACCCGTGAGATTTTTAGTATACAAGCTGAGCTCATTAAGAGAGCTAAGCAATCCTATTTGTTGAGGGATAGAGCCACCGATTGGGTTTCTATTCAGGTACAAGATCCTTAGATTAGTTAGTTGGCCTATTTCGGTCAGAATTGTTCTAGAGAGATTGTTAAGTGACAAGATAAGGTAGGTGAGTGTCCAAAAGCTACCAATATGGGGGGGGGGATGGTCCCATAAAGTGAGTTGTTAAAAAGTTGAAGGGTGAGGAGATGCGGAAAAGATGAGAAATTAAGATTAGAAAGAGTACCTTTCAAACCACAACTGTGAAGGTCTATATGGGCAACTCTACCGGCCTTGTTGCAACCAATTCCAAACCAACTGTAATGGTTGCTTCCGACCCACGAGGACAGGAGAGTTTGACTTTGGTTGTGAAGACTAGCTTTCCATGTCAAGAGAGCCGTGGCTTCACTTTCTTGTTTTCCAGTTAGGGAAGAAGCAAAAGCACCATAATAAAAAACAATTAGCCAATGCAAGGATGATGAGGAAGAGTAAAAGGGCTCAGAAAGAAAGAAATTGGTTGGGAAGTGTATTGGCCAAGAATGTCATTGTAGGCTTGTTATTAATAGAAAGCTATGAAAAACAGTAATAGGATGGAGGAATGAAGAGCTGCAAGAGTATGGAGAGGTATTTATAGATAATAGAGCATGGAGAGGTATTTTTTATTTATTTATCAAACATGGAGAGGTATTTCTTTCGATAGTTTTGGTTTGGATCCTCCACTAGGAAGTATAGGTTCAATTTTGTCAAATTGATGACCAGTAAGATCATGGCAGATCGATGCTTATGAAAGAGATGGACCATAATCTAAGCACTAGATCAAAGGATATCTAAAAATTCTGTCTATAACACAACATAGATATGGACCATAATCTTACTATTTGCAAATAAGGTATTACATAATTTTATTATTATAAGTAGTTATTTATATGCAACTATCATGGAAAATTATCTTCATATATAAATATATATATATATATATATATTATAAGAATGATGTAGCAATATTATTTTGATAAATAAAATTGATTTTTATGTGTTTTGTTTTAAAATAATAAAAATTAGTCGCATCATTTTGTATCAATTTTCCATTTGCATATTAAAAAAGAGGGGTGTGGTTATTAAACTTGATTTTGAGAAGGCCTTCGACTCTGTGAATTGAGAGTTTGTCTTTTCAATGTTGTCCAACTTTGGCTTTGGAATGAAGTGGATTTCATGGATTAAGGAGTGTGTATCCACAGCTAAGTTATCTGTTCTTGTGAATGGCTCACCAACAGATGAGTTTCATCTCCAAAAAGGGCTTAGGCAGGGTGATCCTCTTTCCCCTCTCCTGTTCAACATTGTGGCTAAAGGTCTTAATGTGCTTGTTTCAAGAGTAGTGGAGTTGGAGCTGGTTAAAGGTGTGAAAGTGGGAGTCAATGGGGTGTTGGTGTCTCACCTTCAATTTGCTGATGATTCCATCTTTTTTTGTGACACTGATGGGGCTGAAATCAGTATTATTAAAAGGATTCTCAGGTGCTTTGAGCTTGTATCCGGCCTTAAAATTAATTACCATAAGAGTGTGGTATGTGGGGGTGGGCATTAAGGAAGCCATGTTGGCTGATTTTTCTAATACACTTAACTGTAAGATTCAATCCTTGCCAATTAAGTATCTCGGGCTACCTTTAGGGGCTAATCCTAGTAGGAGGAAAACTTGGAAACCAGTCATCGATAAAGTAAAAGCAAAGCTGGCAGGTTGGAAAAGAAGGCTTCTCTCCTTTGCTGGAAGATTGACTCTGATCAAGTCTGTTCTTGCTTGTTTGCCAGTGTATTATCTCTCTTTGTTCAAGATGCTTGAAGGGGTTGCAAAGGACCTAGAGAGAGTTCAAGCAGCATTCCTGTGGGGAGGCTCTGACCGGAGAAGGAAGATTCATTTAGTCAAATGGGAGGAAGTCACAAAGAGACTTGATCAAGGTGGGCTGGGAATTAGAAGGATTAAAGATGTTAATTTTTCTTTATTGGTCAAATGGTGGTGGAGGTTCACAAATGAGACTAAGTCATTGTGGTGAAAAGTAGTTTGCAGCAAATACGCTTTGGATGTTAGTAGCTGGTTGCCATCAAGGGAGGTTAGTTTCAGACACTCATGGGTGTGGTCTGATATTCTTTCTCTGGATGATTATAATTCTTCTATGATGCTATGCTTCTTGAATAACTTTAAGTTAGTAGTTGGCAATGGGGAAAGGGTAAAATTCTGGGAGGATATCTGGTGTGACAATTATTGTTTGAAAATGGAGTTCCCGATGCTGTATAGTCTTTCTTTGGAAAAGGAAGGCACTCTAAGGAGGTTTCTTGATCTGAAAGAGGCTTCAGGGGTTTGGAACTTGCTGTTTAGAAGGGAGCTGTTTGAATGGGAAAAGTTGGGAGTGGTTGAGACTTGTAACAATTCTGTCATCTTGTCCTTCAATCAGGAGGGAGGTTAGTGACTACACAAAGTGGGCTGCTACTGTCTCAGGTACCTTCTCTGTTTCTTTTCTTTATTTCCTTAGCTCTTTGGTTGGGGTCACTCATTTCATTTTGCGTAAGCTAATTTGGAGTCCAATCTTGCCTCCTAAAGTGCAATTTTTTGGCTGGCTTGCCTGGAAACAAAAAGTGAAGACTGTTGTTTTTTTTGTGCAAAGAATTGGTATTCTCACTGGCTCCTCCTCCATTGCTTGTAGTTTTTGCAAGAAGTCTGAGGAATCTGTGCTTCATGTATTACTGCGCTGCCCCTTTGTTTGGGAAGTGTGGTCAGCCTTATTAAGATGGTGGGGTGTGGAGTGGGCCATTGCAGGTTCTGTTGAAGAAGTATTACTCTGGTGGGAGGGTCAACCTATGAAGAAAAATGAAAAGAAGATTTAGAGGATTATTCTCCTTGCCACTCTGTGGTCCATATGGAATCTTAGAAATGGATGTGTTTTTAGGAATGCCAAACCTGTAGTTGGGGACTTAAGTGAGCTTATAAAAATCAGAGTTGCTCTATGGCTCAAAACCTCTTGCAGTGATTTGCATTACTCTGTCAACGATTTTATTTTTAATCTGAATCAGGTCAAAGTATGCATTGGTGGAGGCTGAGATGGCCTTATGATTTTTGGAGTGTGCTGCAGTTCAGAATCTGCTTTGGTGGTGGCTGGTCAGAATATGCATTGGTAGTGGTTGGTGTGAGGTCTGCTTGCTGGGAGTTGGTTGTAGCTCTGTTCTACTGTGGTTGTTGGTTGGGCTCTGAGTGTTGGGTGGTTGCAATCTGAATCAGGTCAGTGTATGCATTGATGGAGGATGAGATGGCCTTATGTTTTTTGGAGTGTGCTGCAGTTCAGAATCTGCTTTGGTGGTGGTTTGGTTGGTCAGAATATACATTGGTAGCAGCTCTGTTCTGCTATGATTGTTGGTTGTAGCTCTGTTCTACTGTGATTGTTGGTTGTAGCTCTATTCTGCTCCCTGTTAGTTGTTGTTTGGGTGCTGAGTCTGTGGTTAGGTAGTGCTACAGTGCTATTCTTTGATGTTGTTTGGATGTTGTGTTTGGCCAATGCTGTTTTGTCCATATTTAGTTTTGTGGTTTCATAGTTTTGCTCAGAAGTGGGCTGATTTGTCCAAAGTGTTGGGTGCTCTCTGGTTTTCCGCTGTGATTTTTGTGGCTGCATCGGTCTTTTGTTTGGTGTGCTTTGCTCAGTAGTGGCTCATTGTTGAGGGTTGAACTGTTAGGGGTAGTTTGGCATCCCCTAAATAATCCATCTTTTTATTTTTTTTTCATCACATCACCTCTCTACTTTTCTGCACATCTTTTAGTAAAAAGACAAAAAGTTCACTTATTTAGATCATCCCAAACAACCCCTTATTTTATGGTAGTCTTTTGTTTGGTGGCTGTTTTTTGGTTTGTTGGCTTCTCACCAACTTGGTGGTAGCTCTAACCTCCTCTTTATTGATATACTTTATCACTCTTTGTTTATATTTCATCAATAAAGTTTTCTTTTTGCCGATAAAAAAAAAATTACTCAATTGTTATTCATTATTATTTTTTAATCTAAATGATAATGTATATTAAATGTAATAGAATTCATTACTTCTAATAACTTTTAATCATATTGAATTTGGACAATTAAATTCTGATTACTATTGGAATTATCCGACCCTAGGACTAGCCATCATGAACAATTTCAAAAGAGATTTTTCATCCTTTAATATATATTAAAAGGAATTTTTAATTTTTTTGATGTATATAAAATCTTTGGGTACAATGGTACTGCTTAAGGAAGTGGAAATCTTGCCTACAATAAGAATTAAACCATTGACCTGCTAGTGCTATTGTCAATTGATAGATATTACAACATATAAAATTTTGAAGAATTAAAGTTTTTCATTCCAAAAATTGAAAAAAAAAAAAATTGCAAAAATTGTCGTGAAAAAAATCATTACAAAAATTCAAAAAAATAGAAAATACCTTTAGTGACAAAATTTAAAAATGTCACTAATAAATTCATTTTTGGAGAAAAAATTTCATATCAAAAGGTTGATCTTTTGTGACAAAAATTTTAATCCCAAAATAATAACAATTCATTACT